GGGAGAGAATGGAGTGAGGGTGAGATTGATGATGGTGAGAATTGGAGTGGTGAGTTGGAGTGAGGTGAGATTGGAGTGAGGGAGAGATTGGAGTGGAGAGAATGGAGTGAGGGTGAGATGAGAGTGAGGAGAATGGAGTGAGGGTGAGATTGGAGTGAGGGTGAGATTGGAGTGAGGGTGAGATTGGAGTGAGGGAGAGAATGGAGTGAGGGTGAGATTGGAGTGAGGGTGAGATTGGAGTGAGGGTGAGATTGGAGTGAGGGTGAGATTGGAGTGAGGGTGAGAATGGAGTGAGGGTGAGATTGGAGTGAGGGTGAGATTGGAGTGAGGGAGAGATTGGAGTGAGGGTGAGATTGGAGTGAGGGAGAGAATGGAGTGAGGGAGAGAATGGAGTGAGGGTGAGATTGGAGTGAGGTGAGAATTGGAGTGAGGGAGAGATTGGAGTGAGGGTGAGATTGGAGTGAGGGTGAGATGGAGTGAGGGTGAGATTGGAGTGAGGGTGAGATTGGAGTGAGGTGAGATTGGAGTGATGGAGAGATTGGAGTGAGGTGAGATTGGAGTGAGGGCGAGATTGGAGTGAGGGAGAGAATGGAGTGAGGGTGAGAATGGAGTGAGGGAGAGAATGGAGTGAGGGTGAGATTGGAGTGAGGGTGAGATTGGAGTGAGGGTGAGAATGGAGTGAGGTGAGATTGGAGTGAGGGTGAGATGAGTGGGAGAGAATGGAGTGAGGGTGAGATTGGAGTGAGGTGAGATTGGAGTGAGGGTGAGATTTGGAGTGAGGGTGAGATTGGAGTGAGGGTGAGATTGGAGTGGGGGAGATTGGAGTGAGGGTGAGATTGGAGTGAGGTGAGGGATTAAGTGAGGTGAGATGGAGTGAGGGTGAGATGGAGTGAGGGTGAATTGGAGTGAGGGTGAGATGGAGTGAGGGTGAGATTGGAAGTGAGGGTGAGATTGGAGTGAGGGTGAGATTGGAGTGAGGGTGAAATTGGAGTGAGGGTGAGATTGGAGTGAGGGTGAGATTGGAGTGAGGGTGAGATTGGAGTGAGGGTGAGAATGGAGTGAGGGTGAGATTGGAGTGAGGGAGGAATTGGAGTGAGGGTGAGATTGGAGTGAGGGAGAATGGAGTGAGGGTGAGATGGAGTGGGGTGAGATTGGAGTGAGGGTGAGATGGAGTGAGGGTGAGATTGGAGTGAGGGTGAGATTGGAGTGAGGGTGAGATTGGAGTGAGGGTGAGATGGAGTGAGGGTGAGATTGGAGTGAGGGTGAGTGGAGTGAGGTGAGATTGGAGTGAGGGTGAATGGAGTGAGGGTGAGATTGAGTGAGGGTGAGATTGGAAGTGAGGGGTGAATGGAGTGAGGGTGAGATTGGAGTGAGGGTGAGATGGAGTGAGGGTGAGATTGGAGTGAGGGTGAGATTGGAGTGAGGTGAGATTGGAGTGAGGGTGAGAATGGAGTGAGGGGAGAATGGAGTGAGGTGAGATTGGGAGTGAGGTGAGAATGGAGTGAGGGAGAGAATGGATGAGAGAGATGGAGTGAGGGAGTGAGATTGGAGTGAGGGTGAGATGGAGTGAGGGGAGAGAATGGAGTGAGGGAGAGAATGGAGTGAGGGTGAGATTGGAGTGAGGGTGAGATTGGAGTGAGGGAGAGAGATTGGAGTGAGGGTGAGATGGAGTGAGGGTGAGATGGATGAGGGTGAGATTGGAGTGAGGGTGAGATTGGAGTGAGGGAGAGATTGGAGTGAGGGTGAGATTGGAGTGAGGGTGAGATTGGAGTGAGGGTGAATTGGAGTGAGGGTGAGATTGGAAGAATAGTGAGGGTGAGATTGGAGTGAGGGTGAGATTGAGTGAGGGTGAGATGGAGTGAGGGTGAGATTGGAGTGAGGGGTGAGATGGAGTGAGGGTGAGATTGGAGTGAGGGTGAGATTGGAGTGAGGGTGAGATGGAGTGAGGGTGAGATTGGAGTGAGGGAAGATTGGAGTGAGGGAGAGATTGGAGTGAGGGAGAGATTGGAGGTGAGGGAGAGAATGGAGTGAGGGTGAGATGGAGTGAGGGAGAGAATGGAGTGAGGGAGAGAATGGAGTGAGGGTGAATGGAGTGAGGGTGAGATTGGAGTGAGAGGTGAATCGGAGTGAGGGTGAGAGGAGTGAGGAGAGATCGGAGTGAGGTGAGAATGGAGTGAGGGTGAGAATGGAGTGAGGGTGAGATTGGAGTGAGGTGAGATTGGAGTGAGGAGGAAATGGAGTGAGGGTGAGAATGGAGTGAGGGAGAGAATGGAGTGAGGGTGAGATTGGAGTGAGGGAGAGATTGGAGTGAGGGAGAGAATGGAGTGAGGGTGAATGGAGTGAGGGTGAGATCGAGTTGAGGGTGAGATCGGAGTGAGGGTGAGATTGGAGTGAGGTGAGATGGAGTGAGGGTGAGATTGGAGTGAGGGTGAGAATGGAGTGAGGGTGAGAATGGAGTGAGGGTGAGATCGGAGTGAGGGTGAGATGGAGTGAGGGAGAGAATGAAAATTGAGTGAGTGAGGGTGAGAATGGAGTGAGGGAGAAATGGAGTGAGGGTGAGATTGGAGTGAGGGAGAGAATGGAGTGAGGGTGAGATTGGAGTGAGGTGAGATTGGATGAGGATGAGAATGGAGTGAGGGTGAGATTGGAGTGAGGGGAGAATGGAGTGAGGGTGAGATTGGAGTGAGGGAGAGAATGGAGTGAGGAGAGAATGGAGTGAGGTGAGATTGGAGTGAGGGTGAGATTGGAGTGAGGGAGAGATTGGAGTGAGGGTGAGATTGGAGTGAGGGAGAGAAATGGGGGGAGGAATGAGGAGAGATTGGAGTGAGGAGAGAATGGAGTGAGGGAGAGAATGGAGTGAGGGTGAGATTGGAGTGAGGGTGAGAATGGAGTGAGGGAGAGATTGGAGTGAGGGAGAGAATGGAGTGAGGGAGAGAATGGAGTGAGGGTGAGAATTGGAGTGAGGGTGAGATTGGAGTGAGGTGAGAATGGAGAGGAGAGATTGGAGTGAGGGAGAGAATGGAGTGAGGGAGAGAATGGAGTGAGAGTGAGATGGAGTGAGGAGAGAATGGAGTGAGGGAGAGAATGGAGTGGGGAGAGAATGAGGGTGAGATTGGGAGTGAGGGTGAGATTGGAGTGAGGTGAGAATGGAGTGAGGGAGAGATGGAGTGAGGAGAGAATGGAGTGAGGGTGAGATTGGAGTGAGGGAGAGAATGGAGTGAGGGAGAGAATGGAGTGAGGGAGAGAATGGAGTGAGGGTGAGATTGGAGTGAGGGTGAGAATGGAGTGAGGGAGAGAATGGAGTGAGGGTGAGAATGGAGTGAGGGAGAGAATGGAGTGAGGGAGAGAATGGAGTGAGGGTGAGATTGGAGTGAGGGAGAGAATGGAGTGAGGGTGAGATTGGAGTGAGGTGAGATGGAGTGAGGTGAGAATGGAGTGAGGGTGAGATTGGAGTGAGGGAGAGATTGGAGTGAGGGTGGAATGGAGTGAGGGAGAATGGAGTGAGGAGAGAATGGAGTGAGGGGAGAATGGAGTGAGGGTGAGATGGAGTGAGGAGAGAATGGAGTGAGGGTGAGATTGGAGTGAGGGTGAGAATGGAGTGAGGGAGATTGGAGTGAGGGAGAGAATGGAGTGAGGGTGAGATGGAGTGAGGGAGAGATTGGAGTGAGGGTGAGAATGGATGAGGGAGAGAATGGAGTGAGGGGAGAATGGAGTGAGGTGAGAATTGGAGTGAGGGTGAGAGTGGAGTGAGGGTGAGAATGGAGTGAGGGTGAGATTGGAGTGAGGAGAGAATTGGAGTGAGGGGAGAATGGAGTGAGGTGAGATTGGAGTGAGGGTGAGAATGGAGTGAGGAGAGATTGGAGTGAGGGAGAGAATGGAGTGAGGGTGAGATTGGAGTGAGGGAGAGATTGGAGTGAGGGAGAGAATGGAGTGAGGGTGAGATTGGAGTGGGAGAGATGGAGTGAGGGTGAGATTGGAGTGAGGGTGAGATGGAGTGAGGGAGAGATTGGAGTGAGGGTGAGATTGGAGAGGAGAAGCTGAATGTAAGTTGAAGGGAGGATGGGAAGGGGTTAGGGAGATTGGAAGGGGAGGAAAGTGAGTTGAGAGTTGAAGGGAAATGAGGGAGAGGGACTGGAAACAGAGGCACGGAACTTGGAGGTGTGGAAGTGTGGAAGAAATTGCAGTAGATTTTTTTTTCACAATTTTGACTTGCTATCCACATTTTTTTTTTTTCATTACTCCCTTTTTTCTTCCCATTATTCTAATTTTTGTTCATATCTATCTATCTATCTATCTATATCCATATCTGTATCTATCTATCTATCTATCTATCTATCTATTTATTTGTATTATTATTTTTTATATGGAACATTTGATTAGTTTTTTATGTTTTCAAGAAGAGACAAATTAACATTGTAATGAAATCTGAATAAGCATAGAAATGATTTTTTGTAAAGCATTCTGTTGACATTAAGATTATAGTCCAACAGGAGATGTTTTATTTTGTGATTAGTCGAGAGATTTTATCTTTTAGATTATATATATTTAATATATATATATATATGTATATATATATTCATATATATATATATATTATATATATATATATATATATATATTTTTTTTTTTCCTTTTTCTTTTTTTTTTTTCTTTTCTTTTTTTTGACATCAAAGTTATTTGAACTTGAATAGTCAAGATTGAATGAATATCAGTGTATGATATTAAATGCTAAGATTTTGATACAAAGCACTCAATTGAAAGAAAAGAAAATGAATAGATTAATAACGAAATGATCTGACGTAAGATGCTGACATCACAGTCCAGTACATTACTTTTGAGTAAAAATCCTGCATTTTCAGGTCGTGCGTGGATTTGCCTGTGCTTGAATGAGGGTCAGTTGGAGAGCTACCTGCATCTTAACCACTCATCAGCTCTTACTGGGGTCACACTATGGATCCCAGGCGCTGCTGAGGGACCCCCATAGGACACACCTCCCTCCTCATGCTGGCTGCGGGTCTGGAACACATTCGATTTACCATTCCTGTGGTTTGTATTTCTTTTCTCCTTGTTTATTTGTATATATTGATATTTTAAGACAAGACTGGAGGGGTGGGATGTTTTTAGATTTTTAAAATTTTATATGCTTTTCCCCAAATCTGTTAGAGAAGTGTCATAAAGACATATTTTGTCATACTGTAGGGATAAATACCCCATGTTTTTTGTGGAATGAAGGAAGGGAGTTTATGCTGTTTAGCAGACAGCTTAACACATTCTGATTGACTTTGATATTCATTTTTGTGTGTTTCAGTAACTGTATTGTAAAATGTAGGAGATAGGTATTTAGATTTGATCATGTATAGGTTCAAAGGAATGTGCTGATTTTTTCTTATGAATGGGATCGTATTTAAATATTTGCATGATGGAGTCATTCAATAGAAGTGAAATGAAATATTCCTCTCTTGAAGTCCTAGAGCTGAAACAAACCACAGATTACACAATTTCATCCTTATAATGGATTGCAGTCATCTAGTGAAAGGAGGGAAATGGATAGAGATGGAATATTAAAAAACACATTATGATTTTGCAGGATATTCCGGGATGGCTGGCTTCAGGGGGTAGTATGAGCAGCTCTTCAGCCACCAGCATGTCTGTGAGCAGTATGGGGTCCTCCATCCCTTCCCCCTCGCAGCATGATTTTCCAGACCTTGATACTACATGCTCAGAGGCCCTCGAGGAGAGCTGGGTCAGTATCTCAGAGGAGTTGTGGAGTGTGAGGTGTTTTGCATTCGTTTATTGTTGGGGTATTGGAGAGTGTAAAGGCAACAGGTACTCAGTCTTTGATGAGTAATCTTTTAGTGATGTTGAATTTGGTGAGTGGTTCAGTAAGAATATTATTCACTTCAGTTAAATATTAGTGACTGGTTTTCTTTTATACATGTTAAAACTAGAGTTTACTTGTGTCTCTTTTTTGTATGTTCATATTTTGCATGGCTGTATGCATGTATGCAAGAAATGTTGGAGAATAAAGAAAAAAATTAATACAACTAATTTTGTAACCTCTGTTTTGAGGGTCATAATGTGTGTCCTGTATATGATTAACTTCATAAGCATAGTTTTTACATCAAACTTGTGGTTTGGCTTTGATAATAGATTGTATTTTTCTTCCTTAGCTGTAGCAAACAATTAAAAGATTGATGAGCTTTCATTGAAGATTTGAAGATTTCTTTTTGGAATTTTATCATGATTTTTTGTTACTGTGTGATTATATTATTTTCTCTGAACTTTTTGGGTTTGATGGCCTTTGTTTGCGTTTCTTTGTGAATAAGAACTTGCATTTTTGAGTAATGAGAGTTCCATTTAGAGCCATTATTCTCTCAGAGAGTGAGTGAGTAAATGAGTGTGTGAATGAGTACTTTGCATGTTCAACCCAGCTGCATATAGATTGTTTGAAAAGGCGGGGTTTATGAAAACTGGGTTGTAACCAGTCCTGGGGATGTCATTGGTTTGTTGTCTTGCAAAGAAGAAAAGAGAAATTGCATGTGGCTCTCCTCTAAACTTGATAGAGGCCAAGAGGAATAGGGGGACACCGTATTTTATATATTGTTAATTATATTGATCTTTATATCTAAGGCAAGGAAAAGCTTAAGATCTGGGAAAAAGGATAAGTTTATCTATATAAATATAAGGTGAACTGTTCAACTTATTAGAAACTTTTGATAATGTCATGTTTGTTTTAGATATCGGGGTCAGGTTAGATAGAAGAAAGTAGACGTATATACATCTCTGTTTAAAAGGGAGAGTTTTTTTTTTGTAAGTTGAGCAGTCTCACTCAGAACATCTTAGAGTAACTTACCTGTACTACTGTTTTCCAGCATTCCATTGAAGGGGAGTTACCTGTCTTTCAAAGCTACATGTGAAAGTTGGACAACTCCATAGAAATAGAACACATAGCAAGGTAGCCTAGTATTTTCTTTCTTCCTGAATTGCCCTACTAGCAGTTTGAAGGAATGGCTAGCTGTAGCAGGAATTTTAAGTTACCCATCACTGTACTACTTCTGTAGCACTTCTACACGCTAAGCTTGAAAACTGAGATAATGGTGCATGAAAATAATATCCTTTATGCTTATATAAGTGATGTTAGTGATTCATTTGTAGCTTGCTTACTTTTTTTTTTTTTTTTTTTGTAACTTTAAGCAACCAAACACCTTCTCTTTGATGCAAAAGATGTTTTTTTATGCTAATGCTTAGGCATTTTCATATGATATATCGCCTTTGGGAAATCGACTTTAACAATTTGTTAGACAGATTTATCTGTATTTTTGTTTTATTATTATTATTTATTATTATTATTATTATATTATTATTATTATTATTAATTATTATTATTAATTATTATTATATTATTAATTATTATTATTATTATTATTATTATTATTATTATTATTATTATTATTATTATTATTATTATTATTATTATATTATTATTATATTATTATTATTATGTTTTGTTGTTGTTGTTGCTATTGTTTTTATTATTATTATTATTATTATTATTATTATTATTATTACTATATTATGTTATTATATTATTATTATTATTATTATTATTATTATTATTATTATTATTATTATTATTATTAATTATTATTATTATTATTATTATTATTATTATTAATTATTATTATTATTATTATTTATTATTATTATTATTATATTATATTATTATTTTATTATAATTAGTAATTAATTTATTATTATTATTTCTTTTGTCATTACTCTCTTTTTTGCATCTGATTCAAAGGGAGATGACCCAGAGAGAAAACTCCAGCTGATTTCTGTAGGATTGTATTGTTGAATTCTTCTCTTGTTGCTCTTTACTAAAGGAGAGCATATTACTGTCATAATTGTGAAAATTAGATATTTAGATTTGTAATTGAATGACAGTAAGATGGTTAACAGATAATTGTTTTGACTTGTATTGTTGACAGCACTTTTTCTGATGACCTTTGTGGAAATTGTAATATTTTTAAAAAACTTTTTTCAAATGGGTTTTGAAAATATTTTTTTATTTGTTTTGAATTGTTCTTGTTTATATTTTATTAGCTTTTCTGATTTCATCATTCTTAACCATTGATTGATTTGCAGATTTTGTATACATTTATTTGGCATTTTCAGTATTATACATTTTTTAAAAGAGTTATATGCAAAGAAGAATGCCTTTGTTAGTCATTTTTTCTATGATAGTTGCAGTGGCAGAATGGACATTTATTTTTTTTTTCTTGTTTTACAAAGCATGACAGGTGTTTCCAAAGATTATTTGTTTCAAGTATATCAAATCAGTTATGTGTGTTATTTTACTACTTCTGGTGTGTACTTACATGATGTATAAGGATGGGAGAGTGTGGTTTGTATATGAATGAATCTGTCACCAGGATATTCTATTTGCATATATTTTATGAGTTAATGTCTGATATCATATATTTGGAATATATATATAATTTTCTTGTTGGTAAGAGTCGATATATAATACATATCTAAATCCTTTGAAATTGATTTCAGACGAAAGAGAGTAAAATTTGTCAGCTGAGTAACCTGTTTGATTTAAGTACATAAGATATTGTTTCAAGTAACATTAACAGATCTTGTGATAAGATTATTTTTTTCTGAAGACGTTTTATCAGCTGCCTAATGCTTCACAATATCAAGCCTGATAAGAAACCCTGCTCACTTTACTCAGTGGCCTCAGATGGCAAATGTGTCTCTTGCAAGATTCTGAATCATTCATCCAAAGGCCTTTCTCAAGGTCATTAAGCTTTTTTACTGTCGGTTGTTGCAGGGCTCTAAGAAGAAGAGGAGGAGCAGGTCATCATCACAGAGCTCATCCAGAGTGTCATCGGGGGCACGACGCCCACTGATGCCAAGAGCACAAACCTTAGCACGACGAAAGTGAAAAAGGATGAAAGTGGAGAGATGGGTCACCGGCACAGTACTTCCACTGCGACCTCCATGACAGGCACACAAACCAGGACAAACATCTACAATCCCTTGGGACTCCTCCTCGTCTTCCTCTCCAACTATTACAACTGCGGAAGGGACACCAAAGCAAAACTGTGATAATTATGATAGGAACATCAACAACCTCAATTGTGAGAGCAAGGAAGACAGGCAGGAGAATGGTACAAGGAGAAGAACCAACATGGGATGGACTCGCTAACACTCTTGAAAACCGGAATGTGAACACAACCTGCAACGGGAACGCGACGATGGGATTGAAAGCAAACAGATGGGGAATGAGATGCGAGGGGACGAAGTGACTGTGGGTACGACGGGGGAGGCTGCCTAATGCCAAGAATGTGGAGAAAAGGGTCTCTTTCACAGACATTTCTGACCTGGAGCAGCACAAGCCTCAACACAAGTAAGAAATGATGAGCATTTATTTATGCTTATCATTAGTGTTATCTTTAAGCACTTTTTAACTTTGTAATTTATGATTCTTGTCATCCTGGATGAGATTAATTGTACAAGGGGCTAAGGTCAGGCATAGGACTTGGGATTTTGTTTTTATAACATTGTTGATTAATATTTACTTTAAAAGATTAAATTAACCCATTTACAACGGGTGTCCCACATATGAGACACCTGGAGAAATATAAATTGCCGGGCAATACTGCCGGTGTGACGCTGGATCGGAGCTTGTGCTCCGGATCCGTCGTGGCGGCAGCTGATGTGCAGGTAGATTCTGGGACAGCCCGCACGCCGATTTTGAGCCACCCAGAAACTATTATTTTCGACTTCAAAATATGCCAAATGTACCATAGTGGGTTAATATAGTACAGTGTACATGACCTTTTCAACCCACTAACGACGGGTGTCCCACATATGAGACACCCGTAAAAATAAACATTGCTGGGCATCTCGCCAGTGTGACCTTGTATTGGGGCTCGCGCTCCGACGCAGCAGCAGGCCGCGGCTGGCAGGTGGACAGAGTCTGGGGCAGCTCTGCCCACAGATTTTGTAGCTGCCCGGAATTTTTTATTTTTGGCTCCAAAATATACCCGCATTAATGGGTTAAGAACAGACGAGAGTATATGAGTGCAAGGGGATGAGGGCCATCAACTTTTTTTCACTTTTCCTAGAAGATAGAGTTCATATTCATCACTGTCTTTTAATGAGCTCATTTGGTTGTCCTTATCTCCCCCCGTTTCATTACAATTTGCCAGTTTCAAAATCTCGTACATGTATGGCATGCATGACATTTGTCCCTAAAGGTCCTGATGTATGTGCAATATTTGTGCATTCACATAGTTAACTCTTTGTTGATAGGAATTCCTATAGCTGTCATGATGCAATGGCATATGACATACACGTCATGTCTCGCTTTAGTTAGCGAGCAAGTGGGACCGTTGTACACAGCACAGGCCCAACCAGAAAGAATGGGCTTTTGGGTAATGGGTACAACATAGAAAAGTCTGGTGCTGTCTTGGAAGGATTAAAGGAAGAACATAGAGAACCTTTCTTATAAAGCCAATGAATCTTTAAATTTAAAGCAAAGGTTCATCCTTTTTCCATATATTATTGCACAGATTTGATCTGAAGTGTGTTCAATAGCAAAGCACTATAAGGAATTATTTTAAATATACTGTTGTTTTTAATGTTGCACATATATTTACCTTGTTATGTTACTTTTGATCTCAAAATTCTTTGCTTACAGTCGGCTCAGCCTTTGTGGATATTCTGAGATTCGTGATCTAGGTGATCTTCGTGACTTACTTTCCAACTTAAAGGATCGAGGGCTGCTTCCAACATCAATAGCATTAGATGAACTCTTTACCAGCCTTGATCAGGTGAGACTAAGGTTGATATTGTATACTGAAGAATTCAGTTAGTAACATGTATTTGTTTGCTGTGTGTTGGCCTTCTCCAAAATTTGGTGATGTGTAATCAGATAGTATAATAATACTATTGGGGTTATCAGTAAGATTAGGAGTTTGTTTTCCTGTATGATATATGTATGGTGTGTATATATATTTATATATGATCATATATGAAATATATCTTAAAAATTTAACTTCTTGATATGCTATGAAGTAATTTTATCCATCTTATTTGGCCTCCTAGTCTACCCCTTCCTTGAGTGAGCGAGCTCCACCAGAGGGCCAGGAGGACCCCCCCCTACACCAGTCCATCATCAGCCTAACACCGAGCAATGCTGATGATGATAGCAACAACAACAACAGCAGCACAGACATCTCAAGTGACATGTGGAAGTGTCTCCCGGGGGAAAAGCAGGAGCAGGGGGTGTTATCAGCAGCAGTGGTGCAGCGAACCAACATCATTGATGGGCTGAGATGGGAAGAGCTAACCAAGATGGGACATGAGCTGCTGGAGAAGGCCACAACAGACCCGAGCATCCTGGACTGCCAGCCAGTCACTTCCACCAGAGCCTTATTGAGCCAGGAACAGCTAGCTACAGGGACGAGACCCAAGCAGAAGCAGCTGATGGCCATCAGGGCAGAGGCCCAGATGCAGAGAGATGGGATGGGGAGATTGCAGGTCAGGAGGTCCAAGTCAATGCTCTCATCTGATGAGAGGAGGAGGCTGTACAAAAAGAGTTTTCGTAGGGATAAGGCTCCCCCAAGCCTGTACATTCCAGTCAAAGTAGACGGCAAAAAATTTAGGGAAGAGGTAATCATTTTGTTTTTTGTTTTTTTAGATGAAATGATCAGTCTTTACTTTGTTTAATAAGATTATTCAAGAAAGAAAGACTTTGACTCATTGTGAAAGTTCATCATACTCATAAAAGACTTCAAATAGAAATGGTACCATAGTCATTAATTGCTCTCATTTTTTCTGACCTTCAGGAAAGGCGACTTGCCCTGGAGGTTGCTCAGGGGCAGTCGAACCTCGTAACCCCAGGCAGAATTACGGATTATAAGTTAGATGAATGGATTATGACTCATGTGCTAGCACTGCCTGAAGAGAAACTTTATCGGGTAAGGTGCCTTTTAGTTTGATATGTGTTTTCCGTGTTACTGTCATGTGACTTTTTCAGAAAAGCCAAGGTTCTTTATCACCTAACTTTTTCAATAGAATTCAAGTTGTATGGAAACCTCTCTTGAGCGTAAACATTCCATTAATTTCACCCCACTAAGATATCTTATTATAGGGTTATTTACTGCATGGAGAGGTGCCTTCTGTTAATGGTCGAGGGAAAACTTTCTACAGTGAATCAGTCAACTTATATAGTGATTGTTGATTGGGTATTTGAGAACAGACAATGACAGGAGGAAATCCAATCTGTGCAGGTTTACACAAGTATTGAGGACTTTAAGACAAGAGCAGTGTATGATGATTTGTAGTTTATATTGTTGTTGATGACAGGTGTTTGCTGCTCGAGAGGGTCACAGTAGCGGGCACAGCATAGGAGTCCAGGTTGTCTTATCAACACAAACGCTCTACATACTGGCACCAAGACTGAAGGGTTCCAAACCTCGACATATCCTACCTTATCATGATATTCATACCATCATAGTAAGTCAAGGAAGATTTCATTTTTGTTTGAACTTTCCAGGTTTTCAGTATTATTTGGTGATAATGATATGGTTCTCATCTAATGAAAGAAAGTGGTCATCCTTTAGTCTTTTTTTTTTTCAGGATAATGTTTATGCTAATTTTACAAAACTGATATTATGAGTTGTATGTATATAATATATAGTGTAAACATTTAGCATATGGTTATGTTTGTTCCAGGTGGGAGCCAATGATCAGTGGGTTTGTGTGTTGAGCAAGGAAGCTGTGCATGATGACCTCGCCACCACTGGCAACAACACTGGCATTCAGTTAGACATTGGTGACCCTGATGTTACTCATGCCATTGTGAGTTGCCTTGAATTGGCAATTAGGAGGCACTTTGCTGCTCTCAAACTAGGAACAGCATTGAGGAAGGAAGAACATTACATTGATTATCGAGATTTATTCCCACCTGGAAAATTGAAACTCACACGTTCTATCACCAGAGAGTGTGAAGACAACTTATCAAACTCTTTATTAGAGGAATCTTTGCTCAGTGCATGGGACACAAGGAAAAACTCAGCTGATCACAGTCATGAATCCTCTGAAATAACGCAGGACCTCTCAGCTGCCACTCCGGGATCGGTCGTCAGTCAGGACTTGAGTGAGGCAAGTCAGGACCTCACTGAGGCTAGTCACGACCTGACTGAAGAGAGTCATGACCTAACAGAACCCAGCCATGATCTTACTGAGGCCAGTCATGAGTTAATTGAGGACAATTCAGACTTAACTGAAGCCAGTCAAGATATTTCTGAAGCTAGTCAAGATATGACAGAAACAAGTCAGGATTCCAGTGAGGCCAGTAATGATTTGACAGACCCAAGTCCTGAGTCTGTGGACGAGAGTCCAGACATGACTGATGCTAGTCAAGCCTCAGTTGATGCCAGTGAAGAAGATATACTTAATGAAAGCCAAAGTCCAAGATCAATGGAAGGAAGCCAACAATCTTCCTACATGAGTCAAACACAGTCAAGCAGAACACAGATACACTCGAAGATGATGCAAACATCTGTGAACACTAGCCAGGAGTCATACCTGGAGGAGAATGAAGTACCAGCCAATAAGAATGAAGTTGCTGTCTTACAGGAGGAAGAAAAGGAGTCAGAAAATGGAAACATCACAGAGAAGGAAGAAGACAAAGTTGAGGAGTTGGAAGAGGAAACCTGTCCTGTGAATATCCACCTGGAAAAACAGTATGGCATGCCCATATACGCAGGTGGTTATTCACGGTGGAATGGGACTCTTCATGACAGAAGTCTGCCTGCAGTAGTGGTCCATCCAGCCTGGGAACTAGCTGGGCTGAGAAGGTGGTTGAGGGCTCAACTGCGACTACAGGTAGGAATGCTGCCTTGGTACTCATGTTGATTGCAGGGACTAGCGTGTAATTCACAGATTTTAATGCTGTTCACTCTTAGTTATTGATAATGCTAAAGATTGGAAATAGTTTTTTTATGTTATTTTTGTTGCAAGCACTGTTATTAGACTAATTCTCAAAATAATTTGCAGGAATTAGCATGCTTTTTTTTGTTAAGGCAGAGTCCATAAGCACACTATGTCTTTAGAATATTTCTTTCTCATTATATGGTTACTGAACCAGTGTGCTGGAGTAGTAGTTTTCTGATAGCATATCTCTTTGTTCTTTTTCTTATATTTCATGGAGAAAAAAAGAATTGTGTTGAAATTAGTAAGAATCATTTTATTTGATCTTGTAAAGTGATGTGATTTGAGTGATGCAGTAATCTTATATCCAAAGAATTGAATCCTGTTGTAATGTGTTTTTGGTTGTTCTTTTGTGAAGTTGAAAATATTGCAGGAATTTCAGTTGAAATGTGAGAGCTCTTTGCCCTTTTGATGGGCTGCTACCACCATTTTGATTTTTTTGTGTGATTATTATTGTTTAACAATATTGTTTATTATTATAGTTGATAGATTTCAATTTGTATTTTTTCATTTAGAGTCCAGTTTTCTGAATCTCTTTCTGATTTTTGATTTGATTGTTTTATTTTTTTTTCCTTAGTTGAATGATTTTGTTAGAAAGATGGTGTTTTTATTATACTTTTAAGATCATGTAGCATTGTGTAGTTTACGGTTTGTAGTTATGTTTAGTTTGTCACATTTTTTATCGTTTGTTATTATTTTTTTTTCATTAGAGTATATATCCATGATTCTAATATTACTTTGTGAAAATTATAGTTGGTGTTCGCACAGTAAGAAAAGAAGCATAAAGATAAAGTTTTGAGTAAATACTGTAACAAAGAAATAATAAAAAAGGGGATATCCTTAAGTTTATCTTTATAATTTCATTTTTTTCTATCTAGTATATACTAAAAGGGAGTATGATACTAATTTTTCATTTTCAAAAAATATTTCCTTTTTCAAATGGCTGAATTTCTTGCTGTGTTTAGTTTCACTTGTCATTTAGATTTGTCT